AAATCTTCAGACAAAAAAGTGCAAGCCAAAGGGAGCAAAGGGAGAACAGGGTGAAGTAGCTAACCAAGAAACTAAAGATCTACATGCTGAAAACGGAGAAAGGAAAAGAACGAGTAGAGCCTCTGATGAAGCAGGAGAAAAAAAAGACAAGTCTGATTAATGTTTATCTACCATGTCTTATCAGTGGGCCCTTTTATCTCCCGTCTTGTACAATACATAGGAATACTCCCTCCTCCACCCCCATAGGAATACTTTTTATCAACTATTTTGTAAATGCAAAATTTCTAGTAGCTCTAGAAACATATTTAAGAAGAAGGAAATCCCACTTCGTCCCATTTTTTTAAGTGTAAATGATTTTTTTAAGACATAAATGGTGGGATGTTGAACTGGGGGAAGATTTGACTGTCTTAAGTATCAACATTCCCTTCCATGGGTTGGGGGAAAATTTTTGTATCCCTAATACAAAATATACTTAATGGCTAAAAAAAAAAATTATATATATATGTATATATATACACACTTAAGGGCAATTTGTTGTCACTGTCATGCATTTGTGACTTGAACATTTAAAATTTTGTTTCCTGTTTTTTTATTCCCTTAATAGAATTGTGTCTGAAACCATTCTGTCATTATGGCTTTCTTGTCAGAACTGTGTGCATTCTGTATGTAGTCTAGTTTTCCCGATAACTTTGCTATGTGCTGTGAAGGGATGAACATTTGAGTGTGCAGTGTGTGTGACATTAAATTGTGAGTTAGTGGGACTTAAGATGTGGGAGCTTACCAACATTTGAAGATGATACTTGATAATCTCTTTTTTAATTTTTGCCTCCAAATTCCAAATGGAAAGTCACTGGTATTTAGAAACAAATTGTATCTACATCCCATTTAAGATGCTGGTACACACATTAAGAACTGTGTACAAAGTGTTCATAATGTCTCTGTACTGATCTCAAAACAACCAATAAAATGCCAGTTACAAACGAGAAAGAAAAATTTTTTTCCCGGGGTGGCTGGGCAAGGCTAGAAGGAAACTACTTGGGCTACCTAGGTTACTTCTGATTCCAAGGGTTAGCAGTTAGAAAGGTTTGGTTACTTGCAGCCAAAAGCAAACAAGAAGTGGCCTTCATTGCTCTTCACCACCTTCCCTGTTCCTCTGTTGTCACAGCCATGAACGTTGAGGTGTACCGTTTCGGTGGGTACAAAATTTACCCCAGGCACGGGAGGCACTCTGCCAGGACTGATGGAAAGGTTTTCTAATTTCTTAATGCAAAATGCAAAAGGAATTAGCATTCCTTTCCAAGAGGAACCCTTGCCAGATCAACTGGACTGTTCTCTATAAAAGGAAGCACAAAAAGGGGCAAATGGACGAAATTCGACAAGAACCTGCTGTGCAGTCCCATTCCAGAGGCTGTCATCGTCACCAGTGCATGTGCTGCAGGTAGAATGGCCAAGAGGAATCAGAAACCCGAAGTTAGAAGGACCCAATGAGAACAGGCTATCAGGGCTGCCGTGGAAGCGGGGAGGGGAGTCAAAGCAAACATGGAAAAAGTCAGCAGTGGCTGCTACACTGAGGCTCCCACAAAGGGAGCACCTACGCAAAAGATTGTGAAGCCTGTGAAAGTTTCCACTCTCTGGGCTGGTGGATAAGCAGGCAGATGAGAATTTCAAATAAACCTGCAACTGTAACTCAAAACAGAAGAAGAAACCTTCATGATACCATTTGGCTAAAGAAAGAGCAGTTCCCTGAGTTTCCAGACTAACTCTTTACAAGAGTAGAAAGCTACAATTTCCTTCCTTGGAGTGGCTGGTGGTTTCGAGTTATTGACTGTTTAACACACTATACCACCAGAGCTTATGTATACCTAGCACATAGAAAATTATATTTTTAATGCTATTTGATATCTACCTCATTTTTAATGCTCATATTTTTGTAAAACCTGAGTTAAAATACAAGCTGGCAAAAAAATAATAGTATAATATAAAAAGTGGCAAATGTCTTTCAAGTAAGAAAGGCTCTTCCAAAGGTACCTCAAATTTATTTCCCTTTACCTCTAATTACCCAGAAAAAAAATCGCTGGCTAGGGAGATAGAGTTACAATGATTGGTTTCAAATTTTGTATTAATCAAGATCTATACTAGGGGTTATGGTGTGGCGGGGCGGGGCTTCCCCAAGGCTGGCTGTCAGATTCCCTATTAAGCAAGATAGCAGGAATAACAAGTGCCTTAGTTTTCAGATGTTGTGGTCTCTGCTGAGGAAGATCAGAACAAGTAGTCCCGTCGTGCCCCCCCCCAAAAAAAAACACAAAAACAAGTAGTCCCAAGGTCCGTAAGATCACCCCCAAAAGGCTCCTAATGACAGTAAAATCACTGCAAAAGTCTGTTCAGGCTAGTTAAGTTTAGTCCATAAAACACAGTACAGGAGAAAGACCCTGTCTCTAAGAGTCTACTTGAGAAGCAGTGAAAAATAATGGGTTCTGGAATAATGAAGATCGGGTGCGGGTAGATCTCCAAAGGGGCTAAATCACCAGTCTTGCATTTCAATTCTAAAATATCAGTGCATTCCTTTGTAAAATAGGGATAACCTGGGAGTCACAGGATTAAATGAACGAGTCAGCCAAACAAAACAACATGGGGTGGGGAAGAGGTAACTAGGAAGGCACTGGAGGGGAAGGGGGAGGTTACCTGAAGTCTCAACTCCCTGAGACTTGGGTTCAATTTCTGGACTATACACCTCATGTACAACCATCCATTTGTCAGTGGTGTATATGGTGTCACTACTGAACGGATTTCGGTGGAGTTTCCAGACTAACAGGGAACAGAAGGAAAGCCCTAGTGATCTAAATACAAAGTATACAACTAGTTGCCATCAATTGAGGCTAACTAATGGTGAGCTTGTGTTTTGCAGACTAGAACTGCGCTCCCTAAAGTTTTCAAGGCTGTGACCTTTCCAAAGTGATTCTTCTCCTTTCAAAAGGCCTTTCTCCTGAGGCTCCTCTGGGTGTGGTCTGAACCATCAACCTTTCAGTTAGTAGGCAAGTGCTTAACAATTAGTTAAGCACCAGCAACTCCATCTACAACATGAAAATCTCCAAAACGTTTATCATTATACAAAAAGCTTCAGTTACAAAGGCAGGTCTATCAGTCTTATCACTCAATGAAGAATTCTGGAAATCAATGCTTAAAGGGAAAGGAATTAACATTACAGAAGATGGAATGCCCTTCTGACCCTTATTAGGGCCCCAAATGTTATTAGCTTATTCAACCCTCAAACACCTTGGTTACTGCCCCATTCTAGAGATGAAGAAAGAAAAAAAAATGTATCAAAGGACTCTACTAGGTGTTTTTCCTATGTGTTGTGACACTGAACACTTTAAATGAATTCTCAGGATAAGAGCCTGGAAGCAGCAGGCCAGAAAATAACACCCTAAAGGCAACGCCTCCCAGCTGAAGGGAATAATTTGCTTCTCAAGATTTACAAAACAAGGCAAAATATCACCTCATTGACACACACACCCCCAATAATTGGGGTTTGCAATTCACCCCGGGCTTTTCCCACTTCCTTCCAACTGCTGTTGTTAGATGCCGTGAGTGGATTCCTGAACTCCTTCAACTCCACGTGGCACAACAGAACCGCCCCACAGGTTTTCTAGGTGGCAATCTTTACGGGAGTAGACTGCCAAACCTTTTCTCCCACGGGGCCACCATTAGCGCGCTGACCCCACTGCATCACCCAACAAAAACAAAAAACCACCAAAATCTTTGCCATCAAGCGCTTTTCAACTCATGCCCTTGTAGGTTTCCAAGACTGCTTTCCGAAAATAGAAAGCCTCGTCTGTCTCCCGGGGAGCGGCGGGTGGTTTCGAACTGCTGACCCTGAAGTTAGCAGCCCAAGGTAACCCAGAGGCCACCAGGGCTCCTCCACTTGGAAGTCCGAGCAACAAACACCTTAGGAACTTTGCCGCGGCTTAGCAGCCTCTTTCCCCCTCTGCAGCCCCACCACCAGAGGGCCGGGCCTTAGAGACCAGCAGTCGGAAACTGCCCTGGGGCGACGGAGCACTCGGCGTGACCTTGGGCACTTTTACCTCTCCAAACCTCAGTCTCCCCATCTGTACAATGGGAACAACGGGCGGTTCCGAGCCGGAGACGGTGTGCGAATCCTATAAAACAGGGTCAGCGGGCGGGCAGCACGGGGCCTGCGGCCGGGCAGGGCTGGGCACACCAGAGTCCTCGCTGCCGGAGACCAGCTACCACGGCTGCTTCGGTCGCACTCGGGCGACTTCGGCCTGGGCTCCTCGCCGGGCAAACAAGGGCCCGGCCAGCCCGCGCCTCTCCGCCACAGCAACAGGTAGCGAGCTGGCTCCCTCCCGTCGCCGGGGCCGGGCGGCCCGGCGGGCCTGGCCTGGGGGCTCCCCCCACCAACGCGCTGTCACTCGGAGCCCGCGCCAACCACCGCATTTCTGCTCCGGCCCGCCGAGTTCGCTCGGCCTGCGGCGGCCCAGGGACGGCCGCGGCCCCACGGCCCCCGGTTAACGGCCTGGGCGGATTCGCCCGGCTCCCCGGCTCCGGAAGGGCCGCCCGCGCGACGTGGGCAGGAGTGCCCCGAGCCCGGGGGCGCCGCGGACGCCAGTCGGCAGTGCGCTGGCCACACACGCGCCGGGAGCCCCGGGCCTGCCGCCGGAGCCGGAGCCTCAGCGTCCGCGCAGGCGGGGATGCGTCCCTTTCTAGACCCTGGGCCAGCGGGGGCTCTCGCCTGGGGACGCCACGTGGGGGCTCCAGGTGTGCCCAGGTGCCCCCAGAACTCGCCCCAGATGACTGCTCCCCGCGCGGACCCTAGCCCGGCCCCAAACGAGCCCGAGGGACACTCCCGCGCAGGCTTCTCCCTTCCAGCCTACGAGGGCAGGCCTCCGATTGCCGCGGCTGCACACCGAAGACAGTCCCGCCAGGCCGCCAGCCCCGAGTACCGCGGCCCGACCCCCGCACGGCCTGCTTTCTCCACTCACCCATCGCGGCTCCGCTCGCTCCGACTCGGCGGCGGCAGCGGCAGCGGCAGCGGCGGCAGCTTCAGCGGTAGCTTCAGCAGACAATATGGCGGACGTGCCGGACGGCAGCCCGAGGTGGACAAACTACTTAGCAGTCAACCCCAGAACGAAACGCGATCTCGAGCGCGCCGCCGCGTCCGCCCAGAAGGCGTTCTCTTAAAGAGACCACGACCACTGAAAGGTGGGGAGTAGGATGGGCTATGAAAGGAGTGGGTGGAGAAAGGCTGGAAAGGATACATTTGAAAAGTTAAAGGTGCCGAGGTGTTCTCCACTTTTTCCGCTACTGAAGTCTCCCCTCCCAGAGACGAATCCCTCCCTTTATCATAATTAAGGTCAATCACAGACCCTGCCTTGGATGTAAATAAGCATTTTATCTCACAAAACCCTTAGGCTCAGAGAGGAGAAGTAATTTGATCAGTAATATGCCATCATTGGGAACCCTGGTGGCCTAGTAACCACTTTGGGCTGCTAACCACAAGGTCAGCAGTTCAAAACCACCAGCAGCTCCGAGGGAGAAAGATGAAGTTTTCTACTTCTGTATAAAGAGTTACAGCCTCTGAAACCCACAGAGGCAGTTCTTCACGCTCCTATTGGTTCACTACACCTCCATGGACCGGTGTGGACTCAAGGGCAGTGAGTTCAAGTTTGGAGTTTGCACATCTGACACTTTCCTTGGGGTGCCATCGAGTCCATGTGTCAGCACTGTCTGGTCCTCACAATTGAGCCCGTGGTTGCAGCCATTGTGTCAGCCCATCTCCTCGAGGGCGTTTTTGCTTTTTTTTAATCAATTGAGGACATTTTTTCATGGGACAAATTCAAGATCATGGTAGAGAAAGGAAGTCAATACCAAATCCAGATGTCTTGACCCAGCCCCCCACAAGAAGTCCTAGTTGAGACTGCAGTCTTCTGGGAGGTCAAACCCCAAACTGAGTCAGTTCCGACTATAGTGCTCCTGCAGTATGTCCAAGACTACATCTTTACTCTCCAACAACTCTGGTGTTCATGAAGAATATTGACACGGACTGCCAGAGGAACAAACAGATTCCTCTTGCAGGAAGTACAGACAGAATGCTCCTCAGAGGCAAGGAGGGTGAGGCTTCCTATCACGTAGTACATTGGACATGCCGGGAGAGACCAGTCCCTGGAGGTCATCATGTTTGGGGCAGCAAGAAAGAGGAAGACCCTCAATGAGATGGGTTGACACATTGGCTGCAACAATGGGCTTCAACGCAAGAACAATTGTAAGGATGGCACAGAACTGGGTGGTGTTTCATTCTGTTGTAAGAAACAGTCACCATGAGTTGGAACCAACTCCACAGCACCCAACAGATCTTTATGGAAACAAACTGCCACATCTTTCATTAGAAGCTGAGCACATGACCACTGCCCCACGGACGACAAAAAGTAGGAAAATCAAAGTGATTTCCCTATCAGGTCTCCCTGAGGATAGGAGTCAGTTCTATATTGTTGTTCATCCCTCCATTCTAAAAATTTAACAGTATCTGGTTTTCTGGTTGGTGGCATATGCATTGGGCTGCTAACTGCAAGGTCAGCAGTTTAAAACCAATGGCAGCTCCACAGGAAAAGGATGAGACTTTCTATTCCTGTAAGCGTTATCCCAGAAAAAAAAAAGTTATCCCAGAAACCCGCAAGGGCAGTTCTACTCTGTCCTCTAAGGGTTACTGAGTTGAAATCACCTGGATGGCAGTAAATGTTCTTGGTCTGGCACATGGCAAGTTCTCCTTATGACTTGATAAATTAGTGCATAGAGAATCAGGATACGGCCTCCCCTTTCTACAGATGAATATTCTGTGTTCATGTGCTTTATGATCATGAAATTTATGGCTGGTACATACGATTGTTGTTGCCTTTGAGTCCGTTCCAACCCATAGCAACCCAATGTTCAACAGAGCACCGCCCTGTCGCGAGCTATCCTGTTATGTCTAGCCCTTTGCTGCAGCCACTGTGACAACCCATCTCATTGAGTCGTCCTCATTTCGGGTGACCTTTGACCAAGCATGTCCTTCTCCAAGGTCTGGACCCACTTAATAGGGTGTAAGATGAAGTCTCACCTTCCCAGCTTCTCAGGAGCGTTGTGGCTATACTTCCTCTAAGGCGGATTTACTTGCTCTTCACAGTCCATACACCACTGCACACTCATTTGCGCATCCCGTGAGCAAGAGCTCAGGCAATGAGGGCTTGGTTGACACGTGGCCTCCGCCCAGCCCCAGCAATCTCCATCCTATGGCACTTAGAACTGTGACCTTCAAGACCTCCCTAGGCCCTGTTCACACCTTGGCCTCAGGGTCCTTGATCCAGTTCCTGATCCTCTCCAATCCCACCCACCCACCTACCCTAGAGAATTCAGGAAGCAGCAACTCTTACTTCTACCATGATCTCTCCTCTCCTCTCCCACAGGGGTCCAGAATCCTGCACCTCTGCTCTCTGCCTGATACCCAGGAAAGGGAGAAAGAACCACAAGACACAGGCTTGTTGGGAATATAAAAATAGGATATTTTTTTTCCTCATAATCACATCAAATATCAAAGAAAGAAACAGTACGTAACAAAAATACAAAGCTCTGGTGGATTTTTTTTTTGTTCTTTTGTTTGGTTGGTTCATTTTGTTTTTTTTGCACCCCCACCCCCACCCAACTCTTCCCAGTAGCCCCTTGCCAGCGAGCCCGTCTGAAGCCTGGATACAGTCTCTGGGGCTGTTCTGGGGCTCAGGAGAACCGGGGGTCCAGGTCCCTCTGGGGGCTGGCCGAGTACGAGTAGGCCTTGCCCAACACCAGGCGGTCCCGCAGCAGCTTGAAAAAGGCGTAGTAGTTGCTGAAGAGGATGAGAGCCAGTGAGATGGTGTGGTGCCACTTCTCCGAGGAGACGAGCGAATACAGCTGGTAGACGATGACGGCGCCCTCCAGCAGCAGCAGGATGTTGAGGATCCGCAGAGGTTTGCTGAAAAAGAACTGCCCAGGAGACGGTGGGCATGAGCTGCAAGGAATGTCCCAGAAACCTGCCTCTAGGCCGGGATGCTGCGTGGGCCAGTGAGGGGGACAGGCTTGGGCAGGAAAGAGGACACTGCAGGGCTGGATATGGACTCGGCCACCTCAGCTTTCTTTGGGATGTGCCCTGCCAGCACTGCTGTTTCCAGAGAAGTCCGAGTCCACGTCCTGGTCAGTGAGAGTCCAGGTCCTAGTCAACGTCTGCCTCCTCTAGGAAGCCTTTTCTGAGCGATCTCATCTCTCTTCAAATCCTTTTCTGGCTTAAAATGAATACATTTTAGTACACCGTCTTCCTGAGCTATTGTTGGGGGGGAAATGAAGCTTCTTATGCCGCAGGCGTAAACAGTTATTACAGACTCTGCAGCTGGAGTCACCCACAGCTTCAGGTGTGGTACTCCCAGATGGGTCAAAGGCTTCCAGGGGATATGGCCACATCTCACTCCTACCTTGTAAGGCTGAACTGAAGGACTCAAATTTGAAACAGGAAAAAAAAAAAAATTCTGATCAGTTCAAGAGTACTCAGTTGTCTAGGGGTTTTGATTCTGCACTTAATCCTCAAGCATTGCTTACTGGATCCAGGGGGAAGTGGTGGGCTACAGGACGCCCAGAGTCATGGACACCAGGCCTAGCTTGGCCCCAGACAGGCCGCTGGACCTTGGGCAAGCCCTTCGCCTTCCTGCGTCTCAGATGAATGGTTTCTCAGCTTGCTCGTCAGAGCCCCCAATTCCGGGGAGGTTCCTTTAGGAGTTCCAGCTGGGCTAATAGGAAGCAGAGGGGGATGATTCTGACCCCCTCCAGAGAAGCACCATGAGGTTTGGACTAGGACTGGGTTGGAAAAAATGACTTTGATGACAAAATACAGTAAATAAAGTGAAGATCCTAAGACTAGATGGTTTTGAGTAGCATCCACAAGGTGAGTTCGTGAGTCATTATTATAAGTCCTCAGGTTCCCAGCTAGACACCCTACGCCTATTCTAGTATCTGAATGGCAGCTAGACAGCATCTTTCTCTTATTCTCACTCAAAGTTCTGGGTCAGACTGAGCAGGCTGAAGGAAATGCTTGGCACAGTGCACAACATACAATAAGGACCTGATTAAACTCTTAAAAAAAGGGGGGGGGGGATCAAACCCACTGTCACTGAGTTAATGTTGACCTAATAGGACAGGGTAGAACTGCACCTATGGGTTCGAGACTGTAACTCTTTATGGGAAGTAGAAAGCCCATCTTTCTCCCGAGGAGTGGCTGGTGGTTTTGAACTGCAGTCCTTGCAGTTAGCAGCCCAATGCATGACCACTACACCACCAGGACTCCTAGTGCCTGATTGCAGCTGCTATTTCTACCACCGAGAATGGCTCCTTTTATTGTCTCATATTGTTCCCCCTCAGCCAATGCTTTGAAAGATCTGCGACAAAGGGAGCTGCAATTAGTAAGGGACAGATAAGTCGCGTGGCTGTTCTGGTGCTGCACGTGTGCACTGGCTTCCAGTGGATTGGGGAATTACTGAAAATAGCTTAGGGGGAATCATGGATTAGGAGCTTCCCTATTGCTATGACATCATCAAGCCTTCTACCCTGCCTGTCCATCATCCTGCCCTCTCGATGGGACTCAGGGGAAGACTCACGTGGAAGCGGAAGTGGGAGACGTCGGAAGGGATGGCCACGTTGTAGTGGCCCACTGCTTTGTAGACGTTCTTGCTGTGCTTCACCAGCACCCCCTGCGGCCACATGCATTCTTCAGTCCACCTGGAGGCACAGCCCATGGGCATCACTTACCGCTGGCTCACCCACAAAGCCGGGCACAGCAGATGATGGCGGGGTCCCATCTCTATCACTGAGACACAGTGACCTTTCTGGGTCACAGTGACCTCTTTAAAATGGTTGAGTCATGAGAAATTCACCAGGCTAGGAGTCAGAAAGTCTTGGGTTGTCACTAATGTCGAGGGATGGCTAAGAAACCCATGTCCCTCTCTGGGTGCATTTTCTTTATCTGGTCTCCTTACCCCCAGCTTCAGAGTCTGCCACACAGGGG